CGGAAAAAAATTTTCTTATAGAATGTGGACTGTAGAATCCATAATTTCAAACAGTTCCAAGATTGGGCTACTAGTTCAAAAGTTACAGCCCTTTGAATTTTCTTTCGAAATTGGTTTCTAGTCTATAACTTTTGATTGAGAGTCTGATCGAAAAAGTACGAATTGTTTTGGATTCTACGCACCAAAATTAATAAGAAAAAGTGTTTTCCCGAGAAATTATGGTGTAGTCGATTTTTGGTAAAAAAGGAAGGTTATACACTGCCTTTTTTTGAGGCCCGAAAAAAAATTGTCTCAGATCGGCCGGAAAAAAAATTTCCTTATAGAATGTGGCCTGTAGAATCCATAATTTCAAACAGTTCCAAGATTGGGCTACTAGTTCAAAAGTTACAGTCCTTTGAATTTTTTTTCGAAATTGGTTTCTAGTCTATAACTTTTGATTGAGAAGTCTGATCGAAAAAGTACGAATTGTTTTGGATTCTACGCACCAAATTAATAAGAAAAAGTGTTTTCCCGAGAAATTTTGGTGCAGTCGATTTTTGGTAAAAAGATGGTTTATACTACTGATTTTTTGGAGCTCCGGAAAAGAAAAATTGTCTAAGATCGTACGCGGAAAGTTTCTTATAGAATGTGGCCTGTAGAATCGTCATTTACGTTCCAGATTGGGCTACTGGTTCAAAAGTTACAGCCCTTTGAATTTTCTTTCGAAATTGGTTTCCAGTCTATAACTTTTTATTGAGAAGTCTGATTGAAAAAGTAGAATTGTTTTGGATTCTACGCACCAAAATTAATAAGAAAAAGTGTTTTCCCGAGAAATTTTGGTGCAGTCGATTTTTGGTAAAAAAGGAAGGTTATACATGCCTTTTTTTGAGCCCCGAAAAAAAAATTGTCTCAGATCGACCCGGAAAAAACATTTTCTTACAGAATGTGGCCTGTAGAATCCATAATTTCCAACAGTTCCAAGATTGGGGTACTAGTTCAAAAGTTACAGCCCTTTGAATTTTTTTTCGAAATTGGTTTCTAGTTATAACTTTTGAATGAGAAGTCTGATCGAAAAAGTACGAATTGTTTTGGATTCTACGCACCAAAATTAATAAGAAAAAGTGTTTTCCCGAGAAATTTTGGTGCAGTCGATTTTTTGGTAAAAAAAGAAGGTTATACCACTGCCTTTTTTTGAACCCGAAAAAAAAATTGTCTCAGATCGACCCGGAAAAAAATTTTCTTATAGAATGTGGCCTGTAGAATCCATAATTTCAAACAGTTCCAAGATTGGGCTACTAGTTCAAAAGTTACAGCCCTTTGAATTTTCTTTCGAAATTGGTTTCTAGTCTATAACTTTTGATTGAGAAGTCTAATCGAAAAAGTACGAATTGTTTTGGATTCTACGCACCAAAATTAATAAGAAAAAGTGTTTTCCCGAGAAATTTTGGTGCAGTCGATTTTTGGTAAAAAAGGAAGGTTATACACTGCCTTTTTTTGAGCCCCGAAAAAAAAATTGTCTCAGATCGACCCGGAAAAAAAATTTTCTTATAGAATGTGGCCTGTAGAATCCATAATTTCAAACAGTTCCAAGATTGGGCTACTAGTTCAAAAGTTACAGCCTTTTGAATTTTTTTCGAAAGTGGTTTCTAGTCTATAACTTATATAAATATGAATATAAAGCATTCATATATTGTGGAGGTTGTTACTTTACGTAGTGCACAGAACGTTTTTGTTTCTTTGATAGATTATGTTTAAATAATCTGTAACCAACACTTAAACAACCCCTTATTTAATAAATTTGGTAAGGGGAGTCACTCTCAGCAGAACAATTTGCGTTTCCCTCTCACAGTTACCCCCTCAACCCCAAAACGTTTTAATCATTCCTGCTACACAGACACTCCCTCAAAATGTGAGGAGGAAGTGAGTTTGGGGAGGTAATCGCCGTTCCGTCCACTTCCTGATCCTTGTAATTGTTCCGTGGCGAAACGCATCAGAACTAAATATACACAAATGAGATCAAACATGGAAACGAGGTGACCTAACAAAATTACTTTCAATGGCGGCCACCTCACAGTTTTCCGCAAGCCCCGAATTATCTATACGTAATTAATAACGACTTCCAACAACACCAGTATTAACAAACATCTTAAATATTTGCCTTCGGGCTCACGAAGAAGACCTTGTCTTTGCAATATTACTATATCTTCTATAATTGCGTGCACTTGGGAGTGTCATAACAAATGTCGGTAATAAAATCGTAGATGTTTGAGGAAAAAATTATCGTTTGCGTAAGGTTAAAAAAACGTAACGTAATTGAAAGATCACGAAAAATTGAGACCGTTATCAAAGTAATTTATCATTATTAGGTGTTTGAGAATATGGGTCTTACATGATTTGCTCTTTCGAGTCGAGTCGTGGAGGTTGCTCGTTTGTGTGATATTTTAAGGTGGGTAGGTAAGTAGAACGTTATTTATGGAATAGGTAACTATAGGGTTGCAGTGTGCGCAATTGTTGACATTTGAATTTAAAGTGACCTTCTTTTGAGAAATTAAAATAAAGGCGAATTTCCTGACGTCAACATCTTTTTCCTTGCGACAAGGAACTTTTTGCGCTTCTGGATCGTGGGTTGAACACCCCAAGTCCTGACAATGTTCTTTTATCATGGTGGGATATTGTCATAGTAAACTTATGTCTAGGTCTCCATAGGTCACAAAGAAACCCCTTTCAGAGAAACTGGTGATGATCATTTTCCCTTCCCAGGAGCATCTTGATTCCCTTAAGGAACTTGTGTCTTCTGAGTGATATAATACACCCAGAGGAATTTCTTTTTCCTGGAACCTCATT